AGATATCTCTTCAATCCTTCAAATGCTTCTTGACATTCCTGCGTCCATTCGAAGGTTGCCCTCTTCTTGATTACACTAAAGAATGGGTGCGCCTTCTCTACTAGCTTTGAAAGGAAACGATTCAAAGCCGCCAATCTCCTTGTCAGTCGCTGAACTTCCTTTGCTGTCTTCGGGGGTTCCATCTCCATGATGGCCCTAACTCTTTCCGGGTTTGCTTCAATCCCTCTCTAGCTAACCATGTGCCCGAGGAATTTTCCACCCTGAGCAGCAAAAGTACATTTCTTCGGATTCAATCTCAAATTTACCTTCATCATGATTTCAAAGACCTCTTCAAGGTTCCGGACATGATCTCGGGCCTCTTTGGACTAGACGATCATGTCATCGACATATGCTTCCATGGTTCGCCCCAGGACAGCCTTGAACACTTGAGAAATCATCCGGGTATATGTCGCCCCGGAATTTCTCAGTCCAAAGGCCATCACCAAGTAACAGTACAGCCCCTCCGGGGTCATGAAACTCGTCTTTTCAGCATCAGCCGGGTGCCTCCGAATCTGATGGTAGCCGCTGAAGGCGTCCATGAAGCTCGTTAACTCTGATCCGGTAGTCTCATCCACCATCTGGTCAATGTTGGGGAGATGGAACGGATCCATGGGGCATGCCTTGTTCAAATCCGTGTAGTCGACGCACATTCTCCACGAAGGAGGCTTAGGCGCTAGAACTACGTTTGCCAACCAATCCGGGTATTGCACCTCCTGGATGTGACCAATGCTCTGCAAGGTTGCTACCTCCTTCTTCACGAAATCTCTCCTTTCCTGTGACAAATGTGTTCGCTTCTGCTTCACCGGTTTAGCATCTCGCAGGACATTAAGGCGATGAACTGCAATCTTGTGATCCAGCCCTGGCATATCAGCTGGACTCCACACAAAGACCTTCATGAACCTTCTAAGGACTGAGATAACTCGTGATCTGAGTTCAGCCCCCAGGCCCTTGCCAATTCTGACTAACCTCCCCGGCGTGCCCAGCTCCAGTTCAACTTCCTCAATGTCTCCGGCAACTTCTACTCTGGGACGTCTCTCCTCGGCCCTTAAGAGCTGTGCAGTTACCTCTCCCACTTGGGTATCGTACTTGACAGGCTGTTTAGTTGCTTTCAAATACCACGCCCGGGACACTCTCTGGGATCCCCTAGCGATTCCAACTCCATGGGTGACGAGGTGAAATGAGACACTCTAGATCTTCCAATCAGGGTCGGCCTAGGATGATTTTGTGTTGGAGATTATCCCCACCACAACGAATTCCATGTCCAACTTCCGGGTGGCCTTAGCATCCCCTATTTCGACCGCGAGAGTGATTACCCCTCCGGTTCAATAGAGTCACCAGTGAACCCGGTTAGCGGAGTCTTAATGGGTGATAACTCATCTCTAGTTAGTCCAAGAGCCTTGTAAGTATCCATATACATGATATTAACGGAACTTCCCGTATCCACCAAAGTCTTGTGGATCAACAAGTCCATTATATCAATCGTAATCACCACGGCGTCCCTATGGGGGACCCCTGTTTCTGGCAAATCAGCATGGGAAAATACAATTGGCTCAGTTTTCAGCTTCTTACCTTCTGGGACCAGCACCTTATTGACCATCGCCGCGTTGGCCCACTTCTTCCGGCTCGTGGCTGAGTCTCCGCCAGTATTCCCTCTGATGATGAAGTTATTCCCGGGATTTCCCGCGTCACCATCTTGTACAAACTTCTTTAGATGGCCCCGGCAGATTAGCCTCGCCATCTCATTCTTCAGGGTATAGCAATCCTATGTGTTGTGATCGTTCTTGCGATGGTAAGTACACCATTTTCCAGTGTCGTCCACATTGCAGACCTTCTGAGAATACGTTGGATAAGTCATGAGTCCCTGCTGTGCAGCATGGGCCATAACCTCAGCCACCGGCAACGTGAAGACTAGATTGGCAGATTTGTGCTTCTCCGGGGTCCCAGGGTTTGTGCCCTTTGGGCCATCCGGGAAGCCCTGCTTCTTGTTCTTGAACGGCTTTTTATTTCATGCCTTTTCTTCTTCTTTGGGAGTCTTCTCTCTCTTCTCCTCCTTTCTCTCCTCCAAGGTCACATACCTGTTAGGCGTGTCGTAGTGCCTACAAATTAATTCTTTTTCTTATCCCCTTTTTAATTTTAAATTTATAGTTTATAGTTAGGGTAAATAAGAGTCGATCCCACGGAGAAAGATATTCTTTACTTTATGAAAATCAATTACTTAAGTTTTACATTTTTTTTTCATTTAAAAACAACTAATAAAAGAGCTACCTATTCGGGGGGTTTTAAAAGATAAATTGGAAAGATAAAAATAAATAAAAAGGATAAGATGGGCAAAGAAACTCAACCAGAGCAGCCACTTAGAACAAGGATGCAGACACACAAGGACAACACTAACACAAAACTAAGAAAAACACTTTAAACTTTATAAAAACGTAAACGATAATAATTAACTTAAACTGATTTTGAAAAATACTTTATGGTTTTTAAAAACGAATTGATCAAACCCATATTCTCAAATTAATTAGAACTACTCCAAATTAAAATGATTGACAAAACTCTTGGGTTAAGTTGAAGAAGAAATCCACCTGCGGTTCTTCCCTATTCTCCCTAGTATAGCCTATGTTAAGTCCTGCCCTAACTCTAGACCCTACTATTTTTAACAACCCAAGGACCTGCCCCTAGATTTAATTAAAAATAGAGCATTAAGTTCTTTGGAAAACATCACTTAACAACTATGCAGTA